TAATCCTTATGCCTTTGAAATGAACTTCAAGCTAGCTCTCAAATTCTATCCTTCGATCTTCAAATGAATCCCTATTTTGCCTCAGGCCATTGTTTTTGTGGCTAGAGGTTTGATTTTGACCCTATCTCACAAACGGCCGACCCTTGGGTATCAATCTAATCTATCCAAAGGATTTTTTAGCCCAATCCTACTCTCAACTTAATCTTAGTACCAACTATACTAATTATTTACCTCTTCTAACCTAATTTTATCAATTGATGGTCTTTCTAAGGTTGTAGAAGAGTCTCTACAACCTAGAAGGTAAAATTACTAACTAACTTTCAACTTATTAACTATTAAGATAAGAAAATAACCTAAGAGGCTTTTATAAAAGCCATGTTTAGATACCTCAAATTATAATTGAACTAAGATAATTAGATATTAATTAGAAATTCAATTTTGATTATAATTTCACTACATAGTCGTATTACATCACGACAATGCCAAGTATATTGAGGCCAAAATTCTTTGGAATACAAAAAGTGATAAGAGAGTTGAAGGAGTTACTCAATAAACTCCTAAGTTTTAATCTTCCTACTGTTGATTGTCTTCGGACTATTGGAAGAAAAACAAATGTTGGTATTCAAAATTTCTAAAGAAGAAAAATAATGGTCCAATTGAAAGAAGAACTAAAGGTTATGGATAATAGAGTAAATAATGGAACAATTAAAAAATATAATATGAAAATTTCTTTTTCATCTATTTCAAACTTTTATGAAAAAATATTTATAAAAAAAATTAAAAAAATAAGTTTATCACTCAAAATTATATTATAATAATAATACGTATATTATCATATTTTTATAAATAATAAGATCTATTTAAGTAGGAATTAAATATATAAAGTATAAGAGTATTATATAATTTTATTCACCTAGTATTTGTCTTAGAATTTAACCAACTTAAAATCCAATAGAATCTTAGAACTTTTTAGTCTATAAGTTGGAAGAAAGAGTATATACATAATAGCATGATTGAAAATATAGAAGGTTATAAAAAATCAATTAACCAACTCAATCTTAGTCAAATTAGAACTTAATAAAGAAAAGATTAATGGAGTAGTTAGAATATCCATTTCCTCTAGATTTGCAAGAAGTGTAGAAAAAATGGAAGAAATAGAATACAAAAATATTCTTATATTAGATATATTTATAATTAAAAAATATTACATTTATAAATAATCTAAAAAAATTAATACCAAGGTAATTCCTTAGACTAAATCAAATAGTCTCAAAAAAAGAGATAGGAGCAATTAAACATTCATTCAATTCCAAAATTAAACTTATATTCATTCTCCTTTGAATTGAATTTAAGAAATAAGAAAAAAAAAACTATTATTTGCTAATAAAACCTCTTCTAAGACTCAACTAAAATTTAAGAAATCTTTGGTAATATATATATATATATATATATATATATATATATATATATATATATCTTAATTTATTTTTTTAAAATAAACAAAAGGATTTTCTTAGTTGCCTTACATAGTCTTTAAACTCTTGGCTTGTTTTGTAAGGTTGATGTTTGACTAATTTACTAAAATATTTTTTTATTTATAAAATAAAAATTTAATTATTTATGGCTACATTTGATTCAGTTGTATGTTCTTTGTCTAGTCCTTAACCAAACCAAAATTTCTTTAATGTCTTTCTAATCAATTACTTTCTAAGTACCTTTCTATTAATTCACATAATAAGTTTTAGTTTGGTCCATTTTAAAGCTAGTTTTTATATCCAATTAATTTCTTCATATTTTACTATATATTAACACTAAATATATAAAGATTATTTTAAATTTGAAAAGAATTTATTTAAGCAATAAAAAAGTGATTTATTTAAATCCAAAGAAAAATAAGCATATCAACTAAAAAAAGTATCTATATATCTTTTTTTGCATTATTATTGAAAAACATAGTTTTAAGATCCAATTGATATGATTAAAGATCATATGGAGTAGCTTAAATAAGTATAAGCCAAATTAAAGCTAATTTTAAGATAAGAAAAAATGATTTTGTATAATCAAAACTAGCTACTTGTATATAGGTTTTGGCAATTAAAAAGGATTTAAATTTATTAATATAATATTTAATATCTTATTTAATTTTAAAAATATATTTAGATATATTAAATTTGAATCTCTTAGGAAGTTGAATTATTTTCTAAGTTTTATTTTTGAAAAAATGACAAATTTTCAAAATCAATGGCTAATTAGTATTCTTTGGTATAATTATTAGATAAATCTTATTTAAAACTAATGGATTTATTGATTTTTTTAGGATTTAATTTTAGAATTTTATGTATGATATTTTTTCTATAGATATAATTAATTATATCACATATTCTAGTACATATTGATTTTTTTGATGAAGTCATTGCTTTTGTATTTAATATAAGACATGATGTTGTAAATAAGTTTCATTATAGATGATAGCAAGGACAGTGGCTATGCTAGAATTATATTTGTTGGTGCCACAAAGTTTATCCACACCATTTTCCAATAAACAAGTAGTAGTATTTTATTAATACTATTTTTTTAATATAATATATTTATTTTAATATTAAGCTATGAACAAACTTTGTCAAATTGTGTTATTGAAAAAAGATTTTAAGTAATGTCAAGAATATATCAAATATTAGATTTTTTTTAATTTTTCAATAATTTTATTGCAATATCTCCTTAATCTTCAATTGCATGGATACTATTGTCACCTAAACGAATTAATCTTCAATTGCATAGATAGTATTGTCACCTAAACAAATTAAAAGGCCATCGCTTATAATTTACAAAAGCTGATTTGTCATAAGAGATATGTTAGGTGGCACAAGTATCTATATACCAATAATTATTAATTTCAGATAATTTATTAATTTAGTCAAATAAAGAAAAAAAATTTAATATATGATTTTTTGAACTATTTTGATTTTGAATAAAATTTAATTGAAATTTAATATAAATAGTTATTATTTTCTCATATAATATTAAGAATTGATAATCTTCAATATAATGTTGTGGCTTCTTACAACTGAAGCTACAAAATAATTTTGTATTTTATCTTGTCTTATTTGATAATTTTATATTAAAACATTTACTATTGTTATTAGAATTTTTTTTCTAATATTTATTGAAATTAGAATTTTTTATACATTCATATACATATATATATATATATATGTAAGGATTATTAAGACAATATTATACTGACTTAAGTATTCATATCATTTATAAAAATAAAAATAAAAAATATATTATATCAAGTGATGCATTAATGACTAAAGAATTAGATTTGGTTACCAACATAGAGAACATATGAACATGTGACATTGGAAAGATATGCTCTCTATCAAGGCATGAACATCTTTATTTGAGAGTTGACTATCAACTACAACATTGTTGAATTAATAGTTTGAATTTATGAATATGATTTGTCATGGAGACATTGGATTTTAATAAATTTAATTGAGATTAAGATGCATTTTGATAACATCTTTAGATTCAAAAATTTGGGTCGATTTATCTTAAGTTAATTTTGCTGACGTTCAAATCTTTACATGAGATAATATAGTAAGATCTATAATATTAATAAATATTCCAAGAGCTATTATATTTTTCTCTTTGTAATGAGTTTTTTTTTTTTCTTTTTTTTTTTTTTTGTTAAAGAAAAGACTCTTACAATGTTCATAATAATATTAGTTATTGCACAAAGTATTGATTTAGATTCATCACCATGAGCAATAGATTAAAATTTCTCTACTTTAAGAAACAAGGTGAGTTTATACTTTTAGACATTAAAATACGTTCTATCAAACTTTCCAATATTTTGTATCTTTAGAATTTTAAGGTGAACCATGTTGTAAAAAAGTACTTATTTGAGATATAATATCATTGAATGTATTGATACATTCTAAACATATGCAAAATTTTGAATTTATTTTCAAAATATAACCCTAGCTTTTATATCATATTAGATTAAATTAAATTAAATTTCATAATAAATTAATTTAAAATATCTATGTTTTAATTTAATTAAATCACATATAGATTAAATTAAATTTCATTATCATATCAATCTTTTTGGATTTTTAATTTATAATAAGCAATGATGCTATTTTAAATTAATTTTAAATATATTTATATTTTTTATTTTTAAATTAAATTAAATCAAAACATGGTTATATTAAATCAAATTTTGATTATTGTAAAAAATTAACTATTCAAATATTTTGTATAAATCATGTATACATATATACATATATACATACATGTAAAGAGAATTGTTAATGCTACATCCACAATTGATATTGCTACACCTCTTATAACTTCCACACAACTTGAATTGACTAAAATGTATGTCTCTATGCTTATTGCACATTTGGTAATCCAATATTTAATCTCAATATTGATATAAATATAATAAATAAAAACTAATTTCTTTGTATTTTTGGCAATCAGATAACAAACTAAAAAACAAACATAAAATTTTGAAACCAATAGTTCTTGAGGTAGTTTTTTTTTATTTTATTTTTTAAAAGAAGAACACAACTTCCAATCTCTTTCTTTCATAAAACATTCACTTCTTTTTCATAAAACATTTACTATCTTCTTCTTGGCTACCACCCTTTCTCAAAACAAAGAAAGGGGAAAGTGTGCAAAAGAAAGAAACATATTATAAACTAGTTGTCTACAAGGAGGTCATGTAGCATTGAAAATTCTCTCTATATATTATACATATTTGATATGTTTTTCTTTTTGAATTAAGTTTCTAACTTTTTGGTGAATTTTTTCTTGTAATAAAAATAAATAAGATAAGAAATAAAGAAATGAAACATAATCACTGTTGTTAAGAAAAATTACATATTTTTATTGTCAATAGAAATATCTTAAATTGCAACACCTTTTTTGAAAATTATAACTCTTAATTTTTACCAAAGACATTTACAAACAAAGTGCTGAGACCTGCAATAACATAGAACGCCTGCAGTCCAACAGTTCAATGTTGTAATATATACATAACTGGACCCTAAGAAATGGACACCGAAGCTGTCTTGAACGAGTGATGGATGTTCGGCAGAGATTGTGCCAAGCGTCTCCATAACTCCACGGCCCTACTATGTAAAACAGGCACTGCATTAACTGCTTTCATGGCTTGGATTCATCAATGCCCAGTTGATTGATCATGCCAGTAGGAATCACTGGTATTACACAATATGCGCCGTATTACAAGCTGTTTGCAAGAGAACCCCATCAACGAGACAGAATTGAACAACCACCACCTGATGAATCCTTGGGTAGGAGTCTAGAGACGGATGTCTAGTAAAGGAAGGAAAAAAAACTTTTTAAAATCGAGTACGAAATCGGCTCTGATTTTGGCCTACGGATGTGACTAAATCTAGTGACAATCTGCAAAAACGATGAGCAAATCGAACCTGCAGCTTTGAACCTCGCAGCCTCCAAAACCAACGGCTAATTGCTCCACCTCTATCCTCCCAACTGTGTACTAGTTTCATAGAATCAAGCTGATCCACTGAAAGATGCATGGTAATGTGTAGCAAGGATGAAGTACCTGAGTAAGTCTAAGCCTTGGCCATGGCTGGTACTGTTTCGCTCTGTAGGCCCGAAGCAAGGGGCTACAAACTTAAGTGGCTCAGAGAATTGGTGCGATAGATACAGGAGTTATCGATAGAAGCAGTCACAGTTTAATCTTTTGTTTGCATACAGTCTGCTTCAATGTTTGGTTGCTGATGAAGATATCTAAAGTACAGTTCAAAATTGCAGTCACGTGTTTCTTGTAAATTTTGGCCAAATTGACGCGCCCTCTCATAACAGTGTCCAAATCTAACGTCGCAACGTTGGAGGAAAGATCTTGCAGGCTGTTTACCGCAAGACTTATTGCCTCCACCTTAATGACAGCCGGGAGGTCGACGGTCTTTCGAGAGCGAATGGTTCCAGCGCCGAGATTAACCACGCCCACTTCATCCACGTGATACTTCATATCAATCGTGCTGTTAGTGTACTTGAAATCATAGTAATTTGGGTTGTCCACGCGCACGTCAGCCGATATCGAGATGTTCAAGAGCGCTGACAAGGTGAGCATATCGAGGTTGAATGTGACGTTCTGCAGCTTGGCATTTACCAAAGAAACCCTGGGGTCTCGGAACTTGAAAATGGTTAGGCTTAGCACGACGGCTACAATCGCAAGCAATATCCAAACCACCAAGCACACGCCGCAGCATATCCTGCACTTGCGCCGCTTGTGCAAGGGCACCTTCTCAGGCTTCAGCTTCTGCTCCTCCACCGAGGTTGGACTCATCGTCATCTTCTGAAATTCTAGCTTCTCCCCCATATAGATCGCCCCAAATAATGCTCTCCACACTCAACCACACTCTGCCACTTCTACCACGCACCCAACTTCCAAATCCGGAAGTAGAACAAACCCTTCCAATACAAATTCACGGCGATGTACACCCTTGGCCAACTCAATGCGACAACTCCAGACCTCTTAAGTACGACTCATCGTCTGAGGCCCCATCTAATTTCCATCCTGGAGCAGAAAAGACAAAGAATGGAAGGAAAAAAAAAAAAAAAAAAAAAAAGGGTAAGAAAAGGGAAACATCATGAAAAAGCTAAATGAAACACTCCCAAGCTCTCCAGAATAGTACGCATCCCCGACCAAGACCACCAATGCACCCAGCAACCTTGATCGTCTCTTCAGCGACGTTATTGAATGACAGCGCTAACTCATCGGGGCCTCTTTCAACACAACACACGACACCCCCAGCGCAGACTTGAACTGAAGCTCTCGCCGTCCAATCTGTACATTATTTGTTTCGTTTATTTTCCCTCTGGCGGCGGTCATCCCTGTTAGTCATAAAAAAATGCCACCGAATCACATCGAGGTCTTCCGACAAATGAACATGCAAATTGGGGTTAAGACGTTACAAGCGAACGATTGATGAAGGAAACAAAAAATAAATAAACAAACAAACAAGAGACAGAGGATTATTGATGATTTCGATGAGAAAGTGCAGAAGCGGCAGTAAAGTCGTGGCATACCTGATTCTCTCTGAGTTGGTGGCATTGAAGGTAGCAGGAACCTCTTCAACAACAAACCCATCAAACAAAAAAACAAAAACAAACAAACCATTAAAAACAACAAAAGTACGTTTCGGAAGCCAGCTGCCTTGGAAGCAGCTTCTGTATTGAATACGGGTTTGACATTGGGCTCAAAGGGAGTGACGGCGGGAGGGGGGGGGGGGGGGGGGGGGTGGGTTTTTGGCCACAAAAACCCAAAAAGCCTCCCCCCGGGGGGGGGGGGGTTTTTGCCGGGTTTAAATGGGGGGGGGGGTCTTAAAAAAAAAAAAATGGGGGGGGTAGGGGGTAAAAGGGGGGGGGGCTTTGGGGCCTTGAAAAAAAAAACCCCCCCCCAATTTTGGTTTGTGTTCTGGTTGGTGGCTGTGAGATCAATAACCACCCACAATTTCAGCTTAAAACACATACATGCTTCCTAGAAGCTTCTTCACACACAGTAACAAACCAATCAAGAGTAAGAAAAAGGAGAAGTTTTTTAAAAATGTAATTGATATAAAGTGACCATAAAGACAATTTGCATGAACAGATGAGCTGAACATCTATGTTCATGTGCTTAAATATATATATATATATATATATACTATACTATACTAGTGGTTAAACTCATTGGCGTTGCCAACTTTGAGTACATGTTTGGCAGCCAATCAAATAAATAAATAAACACATAATATACCTCTGTTACCAATCAAAGCAATTAAAAAACACACACAAACACACAATATATCTATCTTGGTAGCCAGTCAGTGCCCCTTACTACAATTAAAATATAAATAAAAAAAATAAGAATGCACACACACACATACACACACAATATACCTTGATAGCCAATCAGTGTCCCTTGCTGCAATTAAAATTTAAAAATAAAAATAAAAATAAAAAATACACATCCACACAAATATACATTGGCAACCAGTGCCCTTAATTGCTCTAGCTAATGGGATTTTTTGATGCTACTTTCAAACATAGGCTACTTGATTTTTTTATATATATATATATATATATACATACATATATACAAGCAATGAGAGTGGAGTATTTCATGATAGTGAAGAATTAAGTGATAAAAATTGGAGTGTTTGAGGACTTGTCAAAGGACCCATTACCATTATTGTTATATTATGCTAAGCTTAGGCAAGAATTGTTGCTCAAGAAGGTCATAATTTCTTTTCTAATTGTGACAAAATGACTTAGGTTTTTGTATACCAAATTTTGGCTCTAGTGGAAGTTAATATGGATCAAGAATTGGACTATTAAAGAAGCTAGTTTGTTGTGGTTATTGTGGCACCAAACTATTACAATCAATATATTGAGACGGCAAATAAACCACATAATTTCACCAAGTTGTCTCATTTGTCCAAAATAATTAAATAAATCCATATTCCATTGATTTTGGAAGTACAACTTTGCTTACTATGCATGACAATGGAAAATTTACATTCTCAATGTCCTATTTTATAGTGTTGTATTTTGTGAAGTTTGCTTGAGAATGCACCAAGCACTTGGTTGTGGAAGATAAAATGGAACTTGTAACAAAAAGATCCTAATAACTCTCATAGAATTCTAAATAAATTCCAATTAGATTATAACAATTTTAATCAATCTTTAATTAAATTTTAAACAAACCTTAAAGAACTTACAAAAGAAACATAAAGAAATTATAAATTAACCTTAAAGAAATATATATAATAAAAAAATTCTAAAAAAATATTAAAAATATAAATCTTAATTGAATCTTAACCAAATCCTAATAAAGGCTTAAATCAATTCTAACCAAGCCTTACACCAAATCCTAATAAAATCCTAAATCAATCCTAACCAAATCTTAAATAAATTCTAATGAAACTAAAACCAATCTCAACCAAATCTTAAACAAATCTTAATGAAATCCTAATGAAATTCTAGTAAAATCCTAAATAAATTCTAATCAAATCAAATTCTAATGAAACTCTAACTAAATTCTAAATCTAAAAAAATCCTAAACCAAATCCTTAAATAATCTTTATAAAACCTAATCAAGCCCTAAATAAATCTTAAATCCTACAATACATTGAAATATCAATAATTAATAATCAAATTATTGATTTCAACTCAAACTTTGTACATTTTTTACTAACTAAATTGGCACCGAGTAAATTTTTTTTGAAAAAACTCTAATATATCAAATAGAAGATAACTTCTAAAATCCACTTAGATATTTTCAAGCCTCCTTCTCCAACCTTGATGCTAATACTTTAGAGCCAAAATCTCTCAATTTTACTACTTAATAAGTTTCAAACTTTGCACAATTATTGGAAGTCAAGTTTATTACTTATATGCAAAATTTGACTTCAATCCAAGTAATAGATTGATAGATATCTTAGAAACTCTTATTAGACTACCAAATTCTAATTCTTGAGACCTCAATATGCTTGAGCTTCAATAAAATTTAAATAAATTATCAGATCGAGTTTAAACTTGCAACATACATTATGTACAATAATAATCACTTAATTAAAAAAATATCATCCATAGATCATATATATATCCCACACAATTGTCCAAATTACCAACTCTTTAAATTTTTCAAAATCCAAAGTGACTTGAAAACAACTCTAACTTTGCAAAGCCATTACAAAGTTATTATATATTCAAATCACCTCAAATAAATGCTTAAAGAACTTTTCTTGTTTGCTCTCAAATTCTACTCTCTGATCAATTGAAGAACACTAGAGTTGCTGTAGGTATGTGTTTTTGTGCCTCAAGATTTGATTTTCATCTTGGTTCACAATTAGTCTACTTTGAATATCAATTTTTTATATTTTGAGGTAATTTTTGCTAAAATCTATTCTTAATCTTTTCTTAAATATACTTATATCAATTACTTATCTTATTTACTTTTATTTGGCTTATTTATGCTCCTACAAAATAAATACAAGTCTCTTTTATAAAAAAATAATATTAAGACTAAAGTTTTTATTACCTTTTTATTATTTATTTTTTATTTTTTACTATATCTTTTTATTAGATTCTTCTATGATAAAATGCTTTATTTCTTCTTTCACCTAATCACTATGTTACTACACAACAATATTGCTAGCATGTTTGGCTTGTGGCAGCATCTCTCTCGGCATCAAGGCTTATTGTCAATGAAAATCTTCCAAAAATTTGACCAGTTTAGCTTGCTATAGATACAGATTTGGATAGTGGTACTCTAGATATTGTAGATAGAAAAAAAAAGATATAATTTTAAATAAGTTTTTCTGATATTTAAACAAACTATCACAAAATATATAGCTTGGAATCATAAATTATGGTAAGATAGAATGATCAACTATATGTATAAGATAAAAAAATCCAAGGAAGCCAATAGTATCAAATTACTTTAAAAGTTTGAAAAATGTTGGTATTGCAAGGGCTTCTTTTCTATCATATTAGATGCAAATTCTAAATAGATCTTATCTAGGCCTATGAGAAGGTTTTTCTTCCAATTTTTGTAGAAATTGATGGCATTGGACAATGTCTTTTCAGTTGAGATCAACTACTTAGCAAAGGCCTTTTTTCTTCCAAAGTCAATTATATTGCTAGTTGTATTATTTTAAAGTTATGTCAATTATATCAATTGGTTCCAACTACACTACTATAGTTACATTATTTATAATTTATAGTCCACAAGGTAATAAAGTACCTCTTTTATTTATTTTTTAAAATAAAATAAAATAAATAAATTATTTATTTGATGGGAGGAAGAATATATGTTGAAAAAAGGTCTCTATTTGTTACAAACATACAACTGAAGAAGGTTTGAGAAGATTTTAAAAGGTTCCAAAAGATTTTAGAAGGATTTAAAAGATTCTAGAAGGTACTAGTAGGTTCTAAGAAGACTCTTGAAGGTTCTAAGAGGTTTTCGAAGATTTTGGAAGATTCTAATATATTCTAAGAAAGTTTTAGAAGGTCATAGGACGTCCTAGAAGGTTTTAGGAGGCTTTAGATGATTTAGGAAGTTGCTGAAGAAGGATCTTAGGCTTACTTTGTTCTCAAGCTTCATAAAAACCTTTAAAAAAGCTTCTTAAGACCTAATATATATAGAAGTCAAGGCTGAGGGGATCCTCAGTCTCGACAACTCACTTCTTGTGGTCTAGCTAAGACCTTCTTCTGTTGTATATAATTATTGTTTTAATGTCAAGTTAATTCCATTCCTTCGTCTTGAATCCTTGTCTTGTATATGGTTCCTAAAAATTTATCAAGATTGTCATAAAACAATATTAGGAGCTTGATCTTTCTTCATAGAGAGTGGATTACCTCTCTTCTTAGAGAACTGTAGCATTTTAGAGGTTGCAGATTATCCTCTTTTAGAGTAATATTGTTCTTTTCTTAAAATTCTTTTGGTTTCTTTTCTTTATATCATAGATCATATTTTTTTCTTTTAAAGGCGTATATTTCTTTGATTTTCTATTCTAAAAGATAGAAAATTCATAATGATAGATTCTAAAGAGATCAAGTTAGATTCTATTATTAATGCTCTCAAAGCATTGAGGATTAGGACAGAGACTTTATCAAAGTAGAATGAAGAAATATATATGACCATACATAATGGTCAAGAGCCACATCAAATCGCAACAGAGGTTTCAAATTCTCAAACAACTATGTCTACTTCAAACATGAGAAGTGCATCCACTCAAAGCAATGATTTGACAATAATAACAATAAAAGAATGAAGGATCAGCCTTCCAAAAAAGTTCAATGGTACCTACTCAAAATTTTGTGGCTTTGTAAACTAAGTACAATTAATCACCTTGCTTCAACTTCAATGATATTCCATTGAAGCATTTCATATTGGTTTCATTGGAACCTTATTCTTGGATCAAGCTTTATCTTGGTTTGCCCCATTATTTAAAAATAATTCTCCTATATTGCATAATTTTGAAATATTTTTGGCAGCATTTACAAAAGCATTTGGTGAATATGATAAGATTTATTCATCTACAACTAAAATTCAAAGTCTTTGACAAGGAATGCACTTTGCATCAACATATGCATTAGATTTTTGATAATTAGCATGTGATATAAATTGGAAACAAGATGCATTGATGAGCTAATTTCATTGGAGATTAAGAGATGATGTGAAGGACTTATTGTTGTC